AGCCATGGGAATAACACCCGAACGAGAAATTAGACCATAAGAAGGCTTAAAGCCAATTATTCCGCAATAAGAAGCAGGGCGACGAATAGAATCTCCTGTATCGTGCCCTAAAGACCAAGGCACTAAATTTTTTGCTACCGCCCAGGCCGAGCCGGATGAGGAACCTCCTACTATACAAGAGGAATTGTAAGGATTAAAAATCGGTCCAGTGGCGGCATGAAGTCCGGTTCCTCCGCAGGCAAATTCGTCTAAAACAACTTTGCCTAGCAATTTTTTTTTCTTTTTTTCCAGTAACTCAATGACAAAGGCATTTTGACTAGGCTGAAAGTCGTCTAAAAATTTTGACGAAGCAGTAGTAGCGAATTTCTGGGTCCAAAAATTATCTTTGGCAAAAAATCCTGATGTTTTTTTTTCCGATTTTTCGCCTAGAATAATACTAGTATAATATTTTTCGACCGGCTTTTTATTTTCTATCGACATTTATTTCTTTTAGAAAGGGTTAAAATTTTAGCAGGGATTGATAACTCACTTGCTTCTCTCTATTAGAATTATTTTTCTTACTACTTTTCTTAAATTTGTTTTCCGCTGAAAAGTTAAAAAGGTTCGGTTAATTGCGAACCAAAGTAAACCAAAAGTGGAAGTTAATTATTAAAATAGTAGTATTTAACTCGCCTTCCTCTTTCTTACTAGCACTATTACTGCCGCTATTGCTACTACTACCAACGAAACTGGAATAATTATTCCTCACGGAACTGCTTTCGGTTCAGAACCAGTTTGATTTTGGTTTAAAACGGTGTTAATACTATTTTCTAACTTTTCCACCCTTTCTTTTTCTTTATTGCAAAAACTGGTTAGATAAGAGTTGGCTCCGGATTTAAAACTTTTTATTTGGTCTTTAATTAACTTTATATCCTTTCTTAACTTTTCAGTAATACTTTTTTTGGCTTCTTCTAAGAGCGGTTTAGCCTTAGTGAACTACCCCTACTTATAGAAGTGGGGGCTTCTCGGTTCCTAGACAAGGCTATCACCTAGTCTCCCCGAAGGCTCAAACCGAGCCATTCTTGCCAACTAGCAAGTGTTCTACTAGAACTTTACCCTGATTTATTGCATCAGGCCATTTCATCCTTTATTTATACTTTAAGTATATTATATTTTTAGCAATTCATCCCCCAGTTATAGAACAAGGGGACTTCTTGCTAGGGTTGGTTAAATAAAGAAGTTCATTTGCTTTCGGCACCTTTTTGACCAATTTCTTGGACGGCTTGTTCTTTAACGATTTTAAATTTATCTTTATCGGTAATTTCACCATTAATTAATTGCTTAACTTCGGTGCTTAATTCATCTACACTAACATCATTATCGTTTAATCTTTCTTTAAGAGCTTGAATAATTGTTTCTTGGCAAAGTTGAGGATTTCTTTTTCATAACTCTTCTTCTATTTCTTTTCTGGTTTTTTCATCATCGTATTCCCCTTCTCCTTCCATTCGGATTGCCACTTCAAGCCCGCTTTTCAATTTGTTATCTTCAACTTCATTCAATATTCCATTTTTAAGAAAGTCGTAATTATCTTTGTCCTTAGCATCAATTTTAACTTTCTTATTAGGAGTATCATTTTCTTCATCCTTTCTTTTGCGTTTGCCTTTTGTAGTCTGGCGTTTGGTTTCGATTTCGTTGATTACTTTATCTCTAAGTTCATTAATTTCTGGTTCAGATTTAGTCAATTCTAGAAGAGCAGCTCAATTATCATTGTCCTTGCTTAATTGGCTAGCAAAAATAATTGGTTCTTGATTTAAAGCCTCCTCAATTTTTATGCGGGCTTGCTGACGAAGTTCTTTTAAAGTTTCGTTTTCTTGGTCTGGTGTTGGAACTTCTTCACCAACTTTCCTTATCACTTTTTTACCCGGTTGATAGTCAATTTGATATTGAATATTTCCCGTGCTTCCATAACTCACCTCCTTATATTGTATATCCTTAAAATTAACCACGAATTCCTGATTTCTACTGCTAGTATACTTATCGAATTCAGTAAAACTTTCCTTATCAGGATGGTCAAAAATAAATTCATCAAAATATGGTTGCACATAATCATTTAAATTCTCATATTTGTGTTTATTATTAGCATTTTGATATCCATATGGATATAAAAGCATTCTCGTATCTCTATAATCAATATGTCCGACTCGGCTTTTTTCTTTTATCTTAAAGCGAAATTCCTCGTTCGCCGCATCTCGGAAATTAGCCCTGCCTTTGAATTTTAGTATTTTTGTATCGCCAGAACCAGTAAAATGGACGGGAATTCATTCTATTTTACTTTCATCTATTTCAATAGTTACTCACTTATTTTTAGGAAAATTCTGTAATTGTTGTTGGTAATACTCTTTTTCTTTGTTTTCAAATTCTATGAAATTAATGTTTTTTCCTTCGTGACCAAATTTAAATGAATGGCAACTAAAAAAATTTTTAATCCTGCTTTTCTCTCATTTAGTGTCAAAACTGCTAGTATCTCTATTCAACACGTCACTTCTATGCAGGCTACTTGTGCTTTTTTCTATTCGGGTGATTATTTTTACTATTGCCATGGCTACTGATATTTGTTGTTAATCTATTTTATAGCTTTTTTCTCCTTTGGCTAATTATTAAAGTGGAAAATAATTTTCTGTAGCCTGTTTTTGGGTTGGCTGGATCAGAGAAAATTATTCTTAGTTTTTTCCTTGTTTTCTAAATCTTTAATGTGATTTTCTGCTTCGCTAATTAGGCTTTGTGAGTTTTTTTTTCGTGCTGGTCAGAAGCGATCTTAAGTTTTTGCTATTATACTGCCC